GCCGCGATGGTCTGGATGTGCTTCAGGTATTTGCGGAAGAAAGTCTTGGCCCTTTGGATGCAGTTGGGAGGCTCGTTCGAGCATGCAGAAGAGAGGGGGAAGACAAGAAGAAGAAGGCATAGCACTTCCTAAAACTTACTTGTACCTAAGAGGTGAATAAGGAAGGACATGGAAGGACTCTTTCACAATCTTTTATATACCTATTCTTCCATATGATTTGTCAGATGCAAACATCGAAGCTATTCGTGCCACTTGCTCACACCCACAGGGAGACACAACTTCAAGCCGACAACCTTCAGTGTTGTGATGTCACACCCTCTCTGTGAAGAAACCCTTTGATCGGTGGCGGAGCCCCGGGCAGTGAGGCTGAGAGGCAGGAGGAAAAGAGGAACCACCGCCACGAGTGAGCCGCATGTAGAGCAGCTGGTGGTGCCGACTGGGCAAGATGCGCAAGACGGGTTTAACTAACAGTAACTAACCTTCAGACCCACCCCCTCATGGTGAAACCAGGGTCCGGAGTTTCATGGAATCACGAGGAACCATGACAACCCTCGATATGTCTCATAAAGAGTCATGACCAATAGCTCGCTCATGGGGGGTTGCCCCAATTTATGGTGTGTGTGTGTGTGTCAAACCCTTTTTCCAAGGGTCTAATTTAAAGCAGGGGGCAGCAGGGAATCCACAATTCTGCTGCCAACGAAGACAGCTGTGGACATTCCGTGAAGGAGATTGGGACGCCAATCTGTGTACCTGCTGGGAAACTTTTGAGCAAGCTGTTCCAATCCGTCCTTTTTGTTTCATGGTGGTTCATGCCTCCTCCCCTACACCCATTTCGTCACCGCAGATGTACGTTGAGCCGTTTCGCCACCACAGTCAAGGGAAACATTCGATGTTCAAACACCTACAGTTTCTTGGACTTTTTGCCATACTGTTCCATCGCCATCCTTCCCATCGTGGCAATTGAGTCTAACTGAAAACCAATGTCAGAGTGTGTACATGATGCAGGGCCAAAGACGGACTCATGGTGTGCAGAATTTTGGTCGAAACCTATTGGGCAATTCTGGGTGATTTGCGCTGGCTCAAGGAAACCAGCCTTGACCGAACTTCGGTCGTTTTTCTTCCTGCGCCGGTACCGTTCCGTCGCGAGGTACCTGAAGAAGTTGCCACGAAGTCGCTGGGAGGAGATGGAGCAGACCAGGCGCCGACGTGGACCAAACGCTGAGCACGGGCGAGCACGGGCGACCGGGAGATGGGTGGAATGGGTCGCTGGAAGATGCCATGAACATTTGTGTGATTCTTTGTGTATAGATATATGTCAAAGAGCGGTTGCGATTTGTTCAATGCCTTTGGTTCGGCAGTTGTTTGGGAGCCTGATGCCTCATGTGTCCACTTCCTGCCGCCGCCCCCCCACAGGTTCTTGCAGCCCAAGGTTTTCAAGGGTTGATTGACAGGGGGCAGCGGTAAAACCAAGAAGGCTAGGCTGGCAGTGACCTGGAAGGCTCGACATGGATTCCTGAAGGTTTATACCGTATACCGTCTACCTACCTACCGCAGGCCAGCTTTTGATGATCTCAGAATTAATGCCTCAGGTGTCCGCATCATATTCCACGAAATATCACAAATGCCTAGGACTGGAGGCACTTTGCCTGTGCCTGGCCTAGGACTGATGAGGCGGACGGCAGTTAGAAGAGTTGTATCATTTGCCTCACGGAATACACGCCCAGCTGCAGCGTTCCTTGTCACCGTGAGTTTTGGCTTGGCTGGGGAAGGGAGCCTCCCAAAAAACCATTCTGCATCTAAGATTGTGCACAGGTAGTTGCTGTTTCCACGAGTGGTTGATGCAGAGATGGGATAGGGACCCCAACAGGAGTAAACCTGCTTCAACAGCTGCATGATTACATGGGAGGCATTTCTTGGATCAAAATGGTCACCCTCAATGCAAGTAGTCAAATGTGTGTGGTTGCCCCATCATAAAGCGGTTGATGGACAAAGTCCTTCATGGCCTAGGAGCCGTGAAACAACCTTGGCTTAACAGTATTGTAGTGGCTATAGTTACCAAGATTGCCAGCCATCACAGATGCTCAGATGGCAACTCATTCGTGTAGTCGGCCGGAACTGGTTGGTTATAGTAATATACATTTTGCTAGATGTGTCCGAGGTTGTCAAGCTTGATTGTGGCCACATCTTCCACGTGGCTTGGCATGTTTTTACATCTTGGCTGATCGTAGACTTTATGTTTGCCCAGAGCCTTCTTTGAACTTCCATGAAATTCCAACTGGTTGTGTATAGTGCTTGGATTCACCTGCCACTAGCACTTTTCAGCATACATATTTCTTGTTTTTTGGGTGTCTATTTGCTGGCGCTATGTGTTTTTGCCTCATATTGCTATCAAAAACTGCCCGTTTTGAATCCATTCAGATCTACAGTACTCTTTTGATCTGCAATTTGGCCGTACATGTGAACACCACCTGCATCGCCAACCTTCAGGATTCGTGCATCTCACACTGGGTCCTTGATGAAAAGCGGGAACCTTGCCCCTTCCGCTGCACCAACTTCCCAGAAGAGGTTGACACTCGGCAGCAACAGCACAGGTGGGCAAGTAAAGATTGGGTGGTGGTGGTGGTGGTGGGTTCCGCATTACTGAGTGACTGTCATCCTATGTAATTTCTCTCAAGCAGATGGCTCGACCCATGAACCAGCCGAGCAAGCCACCTCTGATTTATATTGATTTATGGACCGCGACCTAAGTGATTTCTCAGTGTAGCCAATAGTTCACAGCAAAGACATCCCACAGGGGAACGACTGGGTGCTGTGCCCCTGTTGGCCTCGGCACTGGGTTCTTCGTTCTGCCGGGTGCCGAAACACATCGCTGAGGCACGGACCGATAATAGTTCTCCACTGCAGCTCGGCGGTCGTGGTGTGCCCATGACGAAGAGAATGTACGAATCGCATTGAACATGCCAGACAGCAACAACATGAACAACAGCATGCACATGTTAGGAGGAATGTCAAGTACTCACATTTAGTGAAAGGCTCGGAGAAATCAGAGCCTCACCCCATGTTCGCATTGATGTTTTCGGACCAACTCTCGTGCCCTTGTCATTTCGGATTCTTTTTCCTTTCTTCATGACAAGGATCGAGTTTGGTACGAGTTTCCTCAGGACATGAGTTTTAGGATTCTTTTTGATCTTTTCCTCATGTTTTCCGAGTTTGTTCCCACCAAATAACCTGGTAGTGTTCTACTCGGTCCCTGTCGTGTCAGGTCGCCGGTGATTGGTCGAGTCACCCTCGACTCCGCTGCGACGCTCGACCGCGACGCCTGAGCGCGACGCCTGAGCGCCGCGACGCCTGAGCGGCGCGGAGCGCGTGGGAGCCGACGCGACGCCATGGTGCGTGCTCAGACAAAGCTGAGCCGGGGATCGTGAACATCATCACGGGTCCCGAAACAGGAGTGTGTGTGGGTCAATGACCGGACTCAGCGCAGTGGCTCCAGGGGCTCCAGGGGTTGCAGATGATGATAAACTATGAAGCGCCCAGCAATTAGATATTGCAGAGACCACGGATCTCTCCTTGGGATTCCTAAATCTGTATGAAGTACTTAGAAGGCGCTACAGAGACCACAGAGGGTATTGTTCTGATTTAGAGGTGATGAAACCACAGATCCACAATGATCCACATTCATTCCTGCATTTGGGATGTCTCCTGTATAGCCCGTTCCTGACCTGAGAGCTGAGAGACCTCAACCTTCCGGCGAGGTGTTAGCGCTCGGGGGCGTTTTCCTTCCGAGCATCCGAGCGATCTTCCTGTTTTTGCACGGTCATTTGGCTGGCGACTCTGGCGAGGGTCATGCTTCTCGGAATCTGCGGTGTTTCTTTTAAACCAATGTGGGGGCCCACGAATCCCGGCCAAGGGCTTCTAGGCACCAGCCGAGTTGCACACCATGTGGCCATGTGCTGTCTTTCGGGGCAGCGGTGGGAGCCCACTCTCCAGTATTCTCCAGTTCGTTTCTAACTTCTTTTTGAGCAGCGGATGTTGTTTGCAAATGTTTGCCAGCAAGGTTGCTCAAACCCTTCAGGAACAATGACAATCACCTGAGTGAGAACTATGGTTTTGTTTCTGGTGTTCCCCTGGCTGCACATGCATCACGAAGCCTATATGCTCTGCAGTAGTTCCCCTATATGCTCGAAAAACCGTCCTGAAAGCCAGAAGGACGACTAAGACTAAGGAGGAAGAGCAGAATGACGTTCACCATCCCGCCTTTCAAAGGGAGTGGGAGAGATATGAGAACAAGGACAGATGGAGAAGGGGGCGGTGCACAACTCATGTCCACTACGGCAGACCCCACGATTTCCTGGGACACCGGACTGGAGTGGGGTGTGTGACTACAGATTTGGCTTGGCAGGTCGAAACTTGTTTCAACCCAGAGGTTTCTGAGGCTGAGTCTTTTCCTACTGATCAGCCGCCGATCTATATACATGCTGCATGAAGCGTCCAGGGCATGGAGATGACCTTATGACTAGTAAGGACTTTTTTCATGTCCTTGTTCCTTCAATGTTCCGTTCATCGGCAGCAACATGTCACCACACACAAATCCTGGAACCAACCAAAGTTCTTTTTTAATTCCAAGTGACTCACACTCATCTTCCGCATGATGTTCACGATCGGAACCCAAGTTCTTCTTCGGCCAAGCTCCACAGCTCGACGGCTCGACGACGGAGTCGGGAGCCCCCACCACGCAAGAGACTTCACCGACGCGACATGACGCGAGTCAATGAAACAAAAGGGCGTCAGTCGTGCAAAGAGGTTTGAAACTCTTTGGTGGATCATGACATCGGCAGAAATGCAGAAATGTGTGTGAAATCATGGTCGAAATCATGGTTTGAGAGATTTTGGGAGGCCTATTTTTTTTTCCGTCCGATGTTGCCTCACACATCCTCTCAAATATCATCCAAACTGCTCAGTGCACACCCCAAGCCATCCAACCCACTTGGGTGCCGCAGGCCAGTGGCGCCCAAGTCCACTCAGCATTGCAGCGCACACCGGACATCGGCCCTCGCGGCAGCGGCTTGGTGGTGGTGGCTCCGGTGGAGGAGGGCGAAGCCCTGCTGAGAGCGGCTGGGCCAAAGGGTGGAGGGAAGGGCCGGGACGGGCGGAATGAAGGCTTGGATGGGGACGGACACCTTCATGATGAATGTGACATGAAGTGATGATTAAGTGATGTATGATGATGTATGGATGGAGGTCTCAGAAAGGCAGAAGGGTGCAATTTCAGGTGAATGTTTGATGTCTTTGAACATCTTTCGCCTTTTGTAGAGGCCGTGATCATCCTTGGTCAACAGCCAGCCCCACACGCCACTGCCAAGGTTCCGCAATCCGCTGTTCTCTCCGGCAAGATGGCGCCCGAGCCCTGGGTGAGCAGGTCAGTGGGTAAGGTCAGGTAGCTTCAATCCTGATACTGCAGATCTTGCAGCAACAAGACCCCATGGCCCGGATCTACTTTTTTTTTCTTCACCCACTGGAGACAAGAGAATCCATAAGGAACCAAGCCTCCACCCTGGCATGTTTGGCACAAAACCCCCACTCAACATCCGATCCATCGTGGGTGGAACATGATGGACCTCAACGCTCCAAACACTTCCTTGTTGGCCACCACCGCCTTGGTGGTCTTGCCGCACATAGCGATGCCGTGCGGCTGAGGCAGCAGGTCTTGGGGGTGGACTTGGAGCCTGACCTGGCATTGGTGGCGTTGCTGGCGGAGGCCCGGGCCAGAGCGGAAGAAGGCGGGGTGCTCGGCGAGTGCTAGGGGCCTGGGTGGGAGAGTGCGGAATATTGCGGAATAGTTGTTTCTTTTTGTGTTCTTGGGGGGGCCGGCGATGGGAGCACTGATTTTGGGAGCGCTGAAGGGAACTAGGTCATTGTGATGCTTGTCCCGAATGTGACCTGTGACGGCAAGTCATAAATCATATGTCCAACGAGTGGGACTTTGCTATGGAAGTGGACGCAGCAATCAGCATTCTGACGCGTAATCCTGAAGGGTGCGAAGGAGGATTGGCCAAACCAATCCGAATAAACACATAAGGTGTTAGCATCCTTAGCCCGGAGGTGCACGATTCATCCACTCATTTCACCAGACTGGAGGAACTTGTTGTCAAAACTTCGACATGGCCCGCGCGTTTTGGCCATGTCCCATGTCCTTTGGATCACGGTGCTAATGAGATGCATACACACTTGGCCGGACAAGCAGTGTGGAACATGCAAGATAATGACGAATGCAGATTTAAGTTGAATTGGGAGTCCTATTTTCAGTGGTTCTTTCCTTCCTCAACTGTGTGGTGAGAGCAATCAGATGGCAGCCTGGCAGTTATGGAAACAGTCAGGACCAGCTTGCAAATTTTGTGGGGTGGGCTGACAATATGTTCAACGACCGTGGTCAGTGTAACTTGTTCACGTGCTTTTACCCATGTTCACCCCAGTCGGAATTCCCCTCCCTACTCTTTCCTCATCACCTCATTTGATGGTACGCCCAGCTTCGGGCAGATGGGAGAGGCCAAGACATCATTGGACTGAAAGAGTATTTGCTTCTGGGCTTGGAAGATGGCGATGAGTTGGCTCGACCTCGTGCAGATTCACGAACATTAGGGTCCCTAGCTGCCACACGGAATTACATATTCCCAATCGATCCATTCAGGAAGGTCCAACGTCCCAATGAGCTTCATCCCAGGCGGCGCCCAGATTTGCCCGACTTCTTATAGGATGATCACTTCAACAGCTCCAGGGTGTGTCTTCATGCGTTTGGAGTGCCGTGTAATTAGTCTACCCAAATCCACTGGTACTTGTTTGTGTTAAGGGCCCTCATGGGCCCTCAGGATCCTGCAGGGGGGTCAGGTTGATAAGACCCGGCACTTCACGCATCCAGGCAAGTGTTTCTGGATGGAGTTGGGACAAACAAAAGGTCGACAAGAGCTTTGTGGTGGGAGTACTTGCCACAAAGCCTGAGCTGGAAAACGGTAGCGGTTGATCTGCCTTCAGAGATTCACAGTACATCTTTTTTACATGATTTACATGTAAAGAAATGCACCGTGAATCTCTGAGTCAAGCGATCTTTCCTGCTTCCCCTTTCGCTTTCAGGCTTTCTTTACCACGCCACTTCCACGGTTTGCCGTGGGTCTTTGATGATGAGGCTGGCTTGTTGACTTATGCTGTTTGTGCTTCCACCTGAACCGTACCTCGCAAAGAAGGGGGGCCTTCAACACTGGCTTTCATCCCTTTTTCCCATCACTCCCACAGCCTTGCTTTGGCATTGCCATGGGTGGGCAGGGTGAATCACAAATGCATACAAGAGCCAAACCACCTTCACCCAACTGGCCCTGGCCCACCTGTTCAAGGTAAACGGCCAACCATCTGCTTTTTCCTCCGCCAGTTCGCTGCAGGAAGCGGCCAGTGAGCTGCGAGGAACCGCGCTGCAGCCGTGCTTGCAGCTGTTGCAGGCCAAGGAGGATGAGAATCGACAGGTGGGAGAGCCAGGAACCTCTAGCACAAGAGCCACAAGAGTGCACACGGCATGCGCTGACCATACGGCCTTAAGTTCTTTGGTGTTTTGGGTGGTTTTGCAACGTGCATGGCATGATGCTGTACAACCCCCTTGTGTGGATGTATGTAGTTGGACCTGGAACTGGGCGGAGGTTTTTTTCCACGTCGGGCGATGTGCGACAGGTGCTGCAGGCGCGCCTTGGAGAGCGGCTCGCAACGGCATGGAGCGCTGAACGCTTTCGCTGGGCCAAGGCGGTGGTGATGACCAGGTGGGAAGTAGATGGGAGTCATGGGCGTTTTGTGGGTAATGTGGAAGCACAGGACATGTTTGACTGCTCAAGAGCTTTGCTAAAAGAAGCAAATATAAGTCAATAAAGTCCATGCAATTACTATAATGATGACATATGATGACATCAATAGTTTCCGGATTTTTGTATGGCCCTTGCTTTTGAACACTCACACACAGCCGCAGAAGCCTAGCCACTGCTTGCCCGCAATTGACTCGGCAGGGCTGGCATCCATGAAGTGTCAGAGGACTGGGATGAAGCAGTTAAGTGGACTCAGTCCACTGGTTTGCCAAGATAAATAGGTCCTTTTTCGGCTTCCCCGACTTCCTATACCTTCTTCAGCGCCTTGGGCCACCTCTAACACCTGTCTTTTAGTTATTCAATGATTGGACTGGACCAAGTGGTCAACAATTCAACAGTATTAGTACACATCTCAGAGAAACTCCCGTGCTCCAAGACATGAGAGACCACGAAGCCGGGGGGACCATGAGGTCCCTACTGCCTGATCAGCCTGGCCACCTGGTTCCTCAGATACGTCACGTCCACCCACCTCACCGCCTCGCTGAGGAGCCAGAGCCCTCGGTGGCCATCGTTCCTTTGATCGACTTTGCCAACTGTGCCGAGGCGCGGGGAACGAAACGAAGCCCTCGAAGACTGGGAAGCGAGGTTCTCATTGGTGAAAGAACCTCCTTGACGTTCTTGAAAGGTTTGCTGAGTGGAGAAGGGCAGAAAAAAGGTATGATATGCTGGTGGTCAGTAGTTTGGTCAGTTTGTTGAACGTCGATTTTCCAGAGAATTCTCCTCTTCTCACACGCGCGCAATTCGAAGCTTCTTCGAACCGAGGTGCCCAGCGCCTTCTGTCGCCTTCACAAGGGTTTCATCGAGCTGGTGACGCGTCAAGCGTTGAAGGCGCGGGCTCGAGCTGTGGGGCGATTGCGGTGTTTTTGGGATGGTCGGGGTCCGGGAGGGCGTCGGTGTGTTTTTGTTTTTTAAGGGTGAGATGTAGTAGAAGTTTCATCAGTTCTATATACATCATGCTACATCATCATCCCAACAAAAAAAGGTAATTACGCACAGCTCCAGGGAACTGGGGTACAGTTGAGAAGTCCATCGATGTTCAAGGATGTTCACTGTAAAGAAAGACGTGGTTGGTTTGTTCTAGATGTCCTGCGCTGTTGGCTTTTTGGATCAAACCAGATCAATTGGACTTCTGGTTCTAGGTTGGACTTTGGGTTCCAAGAGGGTTTCCCCTTCTTCACCGTTCTTCCCCATGTGTCCAGGCGGGTGATGAAGTCACCATCAGCTATGGCGAGCAGAGCCAGGTGCCCGACGCCGTACGCGGAGAGGGGGGTGTTTTGCCCCGGATTTTTGGGCGAATCGATGCTGCAGGCTGTTGGGGCAAGCAGGAGGCTGTTGCACAGCAGTTCTCCCCAAAATTGGTTCCAAAAAGCGCTCGGCCCCAAGAAAAGACGCCGCATGTTGCTTCAGCATGTGAACTGACAAGGAAGGCTGACAAAACACTGGCACGTCACTGGCACCCCTCAGCCCAACGAAACACCTGGACTCAGACACCACAGCAGGAGCAGCAGCTCTTTACCTTTGGCTTCTTTTTGGAGTCCTCTCCGGTGGAGATCATGACGCCTCTGGTCGGAGCCTGAGCGAATGGCTTTCAAGGAAGGAACAAGGTAAACACCCAACTCATCCCAACTCCATGTGTATCTCCACGGGTGGTATTATTTATAAACACACACGCCACTTCTGAACTATATGGCTAACGATGGCCAACGTATTATAAACACACATGCTACTTCTGAACTATATTTAAATATATATATATGGCTAACGATGGCCAAAGTATTATAAACACACATGCTACTTCTGAACTATATGGCTAACGATGGCCAAAGTAATTAGAGAGGTCTTTTGCTATTTGCACGTTGCATTTATGGCTTTCTGAGCCATGACTGGCCATCAATGAAGGCAAACCCAACCATTCCAGACCAAAGACCTCCCCTCTCTCGAGCTGCTTCTCTTCAAGGCCATGACAGTGCCAACGGAGGTGACCACTGCAGTGGAGCTGAGGAACGTTCTGCTGAGGCCGATTTGATGACGTCCCAGTGAGCCCCCCTGATTTCGAGCGTCGAGGAGGTCATCTTCCTACGACGAGAGGGGGACTAGAGGCCTTCTGGAAGCCTGTGGATTCTTGAAATGTTTGCGGCCGGAGGGGAAGCAACCCCCTTCCCCACAAAAGCCTTCAGCCTTGGGCAAAGGCAAGCATTCCGTTTGTTGGGCCTGACTTTGGCATATTATAGGGAGGATTGGCGCCTTTAATCGTTTTTGTTGGAAGATAAATCATCCATTCTTCCCAGAAGTCTGTTGTGAAGGAACAACGTTCCGGTTGAGGTTGTGGGACCTCTCGGCTTGGTGCACGGCGTAATTCGTTTGCTCCCAGCCTCGCCAGGCTTTTGTTCCTGGAGCGTCAGAATGCCGAGGTGCAAGGGATCGACCGAGTCATGGTGTCCTGCGTTGCGGAGTCCAACATCTCACAACCAGAGAAATCAGACAACTGTGACAAGATGCGATTTACTGGTAACGGTATGTCTCTGAAAGAGATCAAAGGTGATCAAGTGGAAGACCACTGCGGCGACCTACAGGAGCCTACAAGAACCGACAATAAGCCACGGGTGGTTGAAGGCATGTGGAAGAAGTCCAGCATGTCCAGGAATGCCTCAATTCGCCTAACCATATGGCCCTTGGAGCGCTCCCAGTTTGCGGTACAGTATCCTTTTGGACAGCAGTGACTAGCCTCAACAGGCTCTCACATATCAAGTCGTGGACTTGACGCCATTGCCCTTAATGCAATTGCATCAACAGGCCGTAAACGACAGTTTACATCCGGTGATATACGACTCACAGCCACACCAAAAATGGCTTAAAGGATATTCTCTACAGATGAGCCATCCGGCCATCCGTGAAAAGCTCCAACAGTCTCTCCCGCTGCATCGAGCCTTTTCCAAACGCCTCCGCTGAGGGCTCCATGGCCGATTTGCCGCCCTTCGCCATGCTGCGAGCGCGGTGGGGATGCCGAAAACGATGATCGTGAGAGCCTTTGACACTTCTTTTGGGTCGTGGGCCGTGGGCATGCTATTTCATGCCCCCAAACCCAGGAAGACATGTACCACCCCCCCACCTCCGCATGTGCTGTTCTTTCCTGTTCGCTTTCTTCGCAGTGTCCAGCATGCGGCGCCTCTCAGGTCGTCGGGGCTGGACCTCTCAGAGCTCTACGGGGTGGCGACTCTGCAGGAGCTGCCGGAGAACCAGCTCCGTCAGGGAGCTCAGCCTCAGCTCCGCCACGGTGGGTGGACTGCCACTCCCAGGGCGGGGGCCGTTGGTGCGCCCAACTTGTGGTGCATGTGGAAGATGGGACTGGGAGAACTGGAATTGAAGATGCTACAGCAGGAGAAGCATACCAAACGGCTGAGGTCATACATGTATGAAGGAATTCCGGCGAACTCTAGCGAACTCTAGCTGGCTAGATTCGCTATTGATATCTGCCATGTTGGATGAATGATGGCTGAAGCAAAGGGATGCAGCCATGTTAGCAACAGAGTGCTGCCTGAGGTCAGGTAGCGGATGAGGTCCGAAAGACATCAAGGCCGCCAGGGTTGGGCAGCTCCAGGCTGAGTGGATAAGCATAAGAAGTCATTCTGGAACTGCAGCCAGAGCAGTGTCCAGAGCTACCAGTCCTACAGTATTTTGAGAATGACCATGAATGACCCATCTGGATGCTGCCACCGCCTGCCGCCTGTGTGGCGGGGATCCCCTGCGAGGCTTGCCTTGCCACCGCCATCGTCGGAGAGTTTGAAACGTTTGAAGGCGCAGAGAGGGCGAATTCAGGTTTGGACGGCCAAGAGGGCGACACGACCTGCAAGTTTGGAATGGACATGGACAACTGAACACACGTGATGTGTTCAGTTCAGCTGGCCTTGAAAAGGCTCTGTGTTCCGTAAATCCGCATCAAACATCTGGAACAGCCTATCGAATTTCTACGCACTTGGAACGCCAAAAGCACAAAAGTGGAGCAATCCCCACCAACGTGCAACGCCAAAAGCTCCCGGGGGCTGATGCCCCGAGCGCCTCTGTCGTGCGCAGGCGCTGCTCCAGGAGTGGCACGCCGAGCTCTCGGTGGAAGCGAGCTCCTCCCGGAGCGGCGAGAAGCCGGTGTTTCTGCGCGCGCAGCTGGGCGTGGCAGAGGAGGTGAAGGTGACGGGCGTGGCTGAGATGTTGTATTTTTTGTGGGGATGCGGGCAGAGGTGTTTTTGTTAACTACACGCCAGTGTGATTGCGAGGGGGAGATGAGGAATTGAGGAGCGAGATTCATAATGTATATCATGTAGGGAGCTACATGGAGCTGTATATTAGCATGTTGTCAAATGCGCTCTTTGATTTTTCTGTACATGTTTGTCCTCGTTCCTCACTTAAGGTATCGCAAGAGATGTGTGGAGTTGGTGGAGCAAGCGCTGAAGCAGTTGACCGAGAAGGTGCCGGCGATCGATCCTGTGTGATGTCGGGACACCACAGGACACTACAATGACAGTGTGTTATGTTAAGTCACATGTTATATGATATATATATATATATGATGTGATATACCTATATCATGTTATATTTGTTCCGGGTTAAGGATGCAAACATGCCATGGCTATCAAAGATGTACTTGTGTGATCAATCACTCATGCTCATGCACTAAAGGGAAGGAATCCTCGCGGCATCATGTTGCAGGGGGCGATTGATCTTTTGGGTCTTCCCCAGCAAGGAAACATCATATCTCAGAGATCCGCTACACTTCATGCGGCATCCTTTGAGCCATGTCGCTGGAGGCCTGCCATTCCCAATTATTGAAAAGATAAACTAAACTTTCATCAGGTATGCGGCTTTCTGGAATGCAAGTGGGGGAAAACCAGTGCCTGCTTTCTGGAATGCCAGTGATCGTTGCCAAGGAGCTGGAAGCAGCTTTGGGAGCGCCCCTTTCGCTGTAAAAGACCAGGGAATGGTAGCGCTGGGCAACGGTGAGAGGAAGTAAGGTGAGGGCATGTGTGGGTTTGGAGGTTACTTACAGCACTTTGGGAGACCCCTCCAAAACTATGAACCAAACAGTTTTCTGTAATGTCGATTTATTTAGACGAAATTGGACAAGCCTGAAATGGCCAGACAGGTCCTCGCATTTTGTGATAGACTCATCTATATATATATAACCATATGCAGGATGGCGTGCAGTCTTCATTCTTCATGTGGATATTTCCATTGACTCGACCCATGAACTGACACGACCCCGGATGAAAGGCTGCTTGACGGTTTTAGACAAGTTTGCTTGAGCCCTTAGTGAAACGCCCCACTGACCTTTATGCCAGCCCCATTTCGATCCATGTGGATGCGGGACAGGAGCAGTTGCACAGTCTACTTTGCCTGCACGCTGCTCGTTTGGCCATCAAGGTTAGACAGAAAAGACTATTAATCAAACACCGCTGCACGGTCACTGACATTGAGGACATTGAATCGGAGAGTTCGAATCGCATCCTGGTGCAAGGCCAGTGGCCTCCATCCAAAGAGGGCAGCCACTTGTCCACAAAACCTCCCACCTACCTTTGCTCATGTTCATGCAAAGCAGACCTTCAACCACGCCGAAATCTCCTTTTCTTCATGGTGCTGCAGCCAGAATGCACTGAATGCATGCATTCAGCAAGATTGTTCGCAGCAAGATCCGGTGCATGAAACCTTCAAAGAAGCCAGTACGGAGGCAACATCAACGACAATTGTGAGCACCTCCAGGTTTCCAACATATGTTTTTCCTTCCTTGCAGCACCCCAGCGCACGAAAGAGTTCATGAAGCTGCTTCTCCACCACCAGGGACCCGAGGTGCCCCATGGCCAGCTGTGGAGGCCGTGCGTTCGTTCAACTTCACGTGCCGGTTTTGTGATTGTATGTCGGTATGCACTTTGCACATGTACGTGGCATACAGCTTTGGTTCTTAATACTACTCCAAGTCTCAAAATGCCAGTATTGCGACGTTCAATGACTAACAGTATTTGCATTTTCAGTACTTCTCATTGGCTCATCTTTGCATGTCCGATCATGTCCAGGCACGGCCCAACTGCTGGTGGGCTTCGATCTTAGCGTGCAGAGTTGGAGCGCGCATTCCGCCGTGTTGTTTCAAAAAGGGAGCCGAGCCTTGCACCTACCAATTTCCACCATCAAATGCTATCAACCAATCTTGCAGCCCCAGATGCGTACATAACCCAGAGCCGCTTGTGGTGCTGGTGAGCTTCTGATCTTTCACGAGCCCTTTGGTCCAAGCTAGGCACGGTAGGTGTCAGGCTAGGTAGTCTAGCTAGGCATACTTTGGCAACATGGTGGGAATTCTATTCCTTTTGATGTCGTTGGTAGATGCTTCTCAATTCCAGTGGGCAATCACAGAGCAGTTCTCCAGCAGTAGCTGTGCCATCGCCGATTTGAACAAGACCCAAGAGTTGGGACGTGTCGGCACAGTGGCTTTGGGCCTCGGCTGTGGTGATAGCGGTGCGAAGGCCTATCTGGTTCAAGGCACCGATTTGGTGACAGAAAGCCACAGCACAGCTGACTGCTCGGGCACTCCCTTGGCCAACAGCACTACCATGCTCGACACATGTGCGGAATCCAGCACCGCTGGAGTCTATGAGAAGACGAAGGTGGTGACACTTCCCGCGACTTCAATGACTGTTTACAACCAGGGTGATGACAATTGTTCCAACTCACACTTGGGCATCTATGTCGGTGCTTTGGAGCTTTGCCACTTCGATTCAAACGTGCCAGGAAAGAAAAGCAGAAAGACCGTGTGCCAGGGAGACAAGACATGGAATTGCTACTACAGCAATTCTGATTGCACTGGCGATGACTTTTGCTCTCCCAGTTCTAACACTCTGAACTCGTGCTATGAGACAGGGGGGCGGTATGCGATCACGACGGTTCTTGGCTCGTCTTCGCCCCACTACAACCACTACCACCACAACACCCTTCACTGGGATTTCAGGAACATCTCCGTCTATGGTGATGGTACTTGCTCGACTTTGACAGGCACTTACCCAGTGAATCTGGGGCAATGCATGCCAACTGGTGCAGGTACTCAGAAATGGGAGTGTAGTGCAGGATCGATCTCCCACTTGACTAATGCCACTGCAGATTGCAGTGGGATTGTGGTGACCAACGGCCCGTACGAGCGGGGCCCATGTGTTCCTCAAGACAACGGAACCTCGTCGTGGCTCCTTGACTTTGCAGGATGCACTTCGACACCGATCAGTTCATCGAAAGGACAACTTTTCAGCCTGACCATCTTGGGCTTCGCATGCCACCTCGTAGCCGGCTAGGCCAGGCATAGTGCCAGGCATATCTTAATCAAAGGCACCGCAATATGTGCTCAAGAGACTTGAAAGCTATTGTTTTTCCTGAAAGTGTTTGCAACTCGCATGTCAGCAAATCGGGAACCGTGGTGGTCAGATCAGAACTGCTCAGGCCGTTTCGGATGGAGAAGATGGATGCAGGCTCGTTTGGGGACGTAGGTGTTTTATCATTGGTGTGTTTATGGCAGAAAAGACGTTCTTCACGAACGGAAACGTCATGTTCTGTGTTAAAACGCTGCGAAGTCTAGGGAGTTTGGCTTCTGTGAACACTTCTTGGCAGTAGCAGAGATGAGCATCAGGTCTCAGAGGGTTTTGTGGGAACATCAACCTGACTGGGATGGGATTCTTTGCGAAGACCGATCGCTCAGGGTGCGATTCGGCGTTTTTTTCCAAACAAGGATAGGTCATGGAAGGTAATACGGACATCTGAACCATCTTGTCCCCAGTGGATGCCGTGGCTATCAAAAAGCTACTTGTGTGATCAATCACTCATGCTCATGCACTAAAGAGAAGGAATCCGCGCGGCATCATGTTGCAGGGGGCGGAGCAAGAGTTGCACATAGAGCTTTGGTTCTTAATATCACTCCAAGTCTCAAGATGCAATTAATGCGACGTTCTATGACTAGCAGCACCTGCATTTTCACTACTTCTGTTTGGCTCCATGTTCCAGGCGCGGCCCAACAGTGCCCAACAATGCTGGTGGGCTTTGATCGAAAACGAATTCCGCTCGAAAGCGGCAGCACGTCTTGGGAGCACTCATTTGGTATTCGTTCCACATTTGATGAATTCTTCCGGTTAAGGGCGCCATTTACAGATGAGGTTGTTCAGCAGCCTTCACCACGGATAGGTCGAGCATTGGTATTTGCAGGTATTTGCCAATATTTACCAGGTTTTTCCAAGCAGAGAGCCAAGCCTTCCACCTACCAATTTCTGCAATCAAATGCTATCAGACATTGGACAGCGCATCCCAGCCCGTGCAGGTCCAGCCTCTACACAGCCGCTTGTGGCGCTCCAAACTTGCGACAGGTGGGAGAATCAACGTGGAAATCGAGGATAAGGTGAAATTTGAACCATTTGGGCCTTGATGCACCCTGTCAAAACTTCAGCTCTACCACAAATCGTCTGATGATATAGATGCGACAATCACTGGGCATTGGTCTTGTCGCACCGCTGCATCCACATCAGACGCCCTCCGAACCAATTAATCCACGATATCATTTCTTATCAAGTGAACCCTCCCAGACCTTTTCAATGGAAGAATGCCAACCAACACGTTTTTGGCGCTGAAAGCTGATCACCGGCCCCCAGCAAGTCAATTTGTCCCTGCCATCCACGACCCCAACGACCGTCGGGCGCTAGGTGCCTGCGCAGCTCAGCGCGCAGCCGGGTGACCGCTCCATCGGTCGGGGAACCTCGGACGAAGGTCGGAACAGCGCATCATCCGAAGGGCCGCAGATGTCGCTTCTTGCGTGAGTCTGATGCTAGAAATATGGATGGTCATGGATTCTAGTGTGGAAGTCTTGCAGTCATGTGCTTCACAGATCTTCACAGATCATATGACACTTAAATGACATTGAACAAATCCAATGTCCCAACTGATGACCGCTTTTGGCTCTAGAGCCAGCCCGCCCCCACAGTTTGCATCGAGCACCAGTGGTGGGGAAACTGAAGGACCTTGAGAGCAAGGAGATAACCTTCTTTCGGCAGTTCACAGAAAGTCTCAGAGCCATTCAGAGCCACAGAGATATCAGAGACGACAACTTAGCCAATGACCTGGCATGTCCTGCAGATTTGCAGCAATCCCTGCACGTGTTTGTGCAAGCAGGCACAGCAGCCGTAGCAGCTCTGGCACTGCAAGCAAGAGCGGTTTGCATGCAAGTGACTATTCAGGGCTGCATTCTGTGAGTGACACTGATGAGGATGACATCGATGATGCTGATGAAGAGTTCTGGCAGGGCGTGGTGCGCACCTGCAAATGGATGGGGTTGGCACAGTTTGCAATGATCCCGGCAGTTTTCGCCCTTGCCAAGCTACGATTTACTCGATCGGTTTTTGCATTGGTCATTTCCGAAGTGCTCCTTTCTTTGATTGCACAGGTACGAGTGCGGAGGAACATCGCAGATTGGGTTTGCGAACAGTCGGCGGATATCTGGCAGAAGCATGTTGAGGTCTTAAATGTACGCCAGGGGTCAATGGGGATCCTCTCAGTGCATGACATTATGGTGTATTTTGGAACCCTTAGTGAAGCACTAGATCCTGGAATGGATGCATGGACAGCAGCCAATTCTGAACAGATGTGCACAGCGACAGTGCGAGACAAGTTTGCTGCTGCATGGGGGTCTTTTCCAGTTGTGGGCCACACTATTGGGTGGGTTGGTTTGCCTCGGATTTTGCTCACGCTTTTGTGTATTGCAGGCGTTTCGCAGGTGTATGAGTTCATGTGCAAAGAGTGCCAGGTGAAAGAGAAGATAGAAGCTTTGAGACGGTCATTCCCATTCGAAGATGAGGATGCAGCAACAAAAAGCAGGTGGCGAGTGTGGATCTTCGCGAGTCATATGACTGATGTAGGAGGTTTGATGTTGCTTCACGACATTTTCCAGCAACTTGTGCAAGTGGAGATCTCCTTGTCCGACAAAATTTGGCCAGTGGCTGACCGCTTTGCTGCGTTTGGATGCTTGTTCCGATAGATGATACTTTTTTTTCGATACGATTCAGCCACAGTATAGTTTTGCTTACATCTGAAGTTAGCCCTTCAATTTACTCTGTACCAAGTCCGTCAATGGATCCTGGTCTCGCGCTCATGTGGTTCGATCCTGTGTATTGAGCCCATGTACTAGCTCAAGAAGAGTGGGTTTTTCATTTTTTGAGTCGTCTTCAGGCTCTTTAGGCAGAAAAGTGGTTCCAGCAGTGCCAGTGAAAGTCTGCAGCTTTCAGGATACAAAGTCGTTTTGGAGGCCTTGCCTGCGCTTTGGCTGCAGATCTCATTGCTGTGTTTGACCTGGGATTCAGCAACGCTCTCTAGCCTCGCTGTGACCTTCGTGTCCTTGGGCTGCGCCTTGAATGCCAAGGAAGCCGGTTCCTTTGCTTTCCCAGACGGGCACCAGGCTATAGTAGGTGATCAGGTGCAGGATGTCGGTATAGCAGGCATGCAAGTGACTTGTATAGTGGGTTTGCAGCTTACCACCCTTCATGGATAGTTTCAGATTCTTCCCTGCATGGGATCCTTTGTGGGGTTCAAACCCTGCAGGGTTTACACTTTCTCTGCCAGACTCAAGAACAAACATGGATGGCTTTCCGGGTGTGATGTGGATGCGGGGCAAAGACAACCGCTCAGACATGCGAGGGGAAAGCGACCATGCAGTGAAGTTGTGAAAGGCTCCCATGTTCAACAGACTTCAGCCGGGTCAATAATGGTTCCTTCCTTGACATTCTCTGCCCATTAAAGGGGGAAGGGCCAGGGGAAGGACTGCAGAATGATGCCCAGCAGCCACACCTGTCACAAGCTTTTTACAGATTCCTGTCACGGCCTGCCAGTTTCCTACATGAACATCCTCAAGCATTTGTTCTTGGTCCTGCAATGCCTCAGAAAGGACCTCGAGTTTTACAGATCGCAAAAGCACCCAACAGAGCTTGGAAAGACATCAGGATCCACAAGACGTGAGATCAAGCTTCAACATCACTGTTTCTTGGCTTCATGCAGCCAACGGCAGGAAACGACCAAGGGAAATCAATTGCCACGGCCGGCCACAGCCATGGTGGATAGTGCTTTTCTGAAAGATTGGCCATGCTAGACTGAAGGCATATCCTCCAATCCAACCCAGGGAGTGCCACATGTCACAAGTCTTCATGTGGGGAGACACCTAGCTAGACTTACGGATGTTTGTGTCAGCAAATGCCCACCCCCCAATAACAATACGGAGTTGCTCAACAGGTGCGATTTGAGAAGACATCTAGTAAGTTTCTGCGCTTCTATGTGCTTCTTTCGGTTTAAAGTCCGAATGCTGGCCACCTCCCACCAACAATGCACCTTCAAGCTTGAATGTTTTCTAGGACCATTTTTTGGATGACTCAGGCTCAGGCGATTGAACCGAGGGTTCCCAAACAAACCTACAACCCCCGGTGGGATCTGGATGGATGGACATGGATGGACCTGTGGCTGGGAACGAGGTCTCTTGCCATGCCTGTTTCTGTTGGGTATCTTCATCATCTTGGCTTGCACCATTCGCCTGGCTGGCATCTGGCTTTGCCCCAGCCACATTCTAAATCTCGGCAGTGGCTGCGTGGGAAGCTAGCGACCCTCAGCGACAGTCCTCGTCCCGCATCGTTCCGCGTGGTGAAGACCCGCCACCTGGAGCACAGCGCGACTCAGCCAGATCGCCCCATGGTATCCACACATTGCCATTCCGATGGCCGCAGCCGAACGTATCGAGGTTTTTCAGGACTTCTCGGAAGCAAGCCGAGATCTGAAGATTGCTGGCACAGGAAATGCGGAGGAAAATGAACCTGGCTGATGATCTCCAAGACATGTAAGGTGCTGTTGTATTATGTCTTTTTTTAAACCTTTTTTCCCGAAAGCATTGCGAAGGGTTCTTCCGGAAAATCGTTTGAACACTGACACTTGGACACTTACACTTAGACACACTTAGACATTGACACTTTCACCACACTTAAACACACGTAGCCCTGTGTAAGTGGAAGAGCGAAAGCTGTCAAAGTATGCAAGTGTAAGTATGCAAGTGATGAGTATGCAAGCATGCAATGAGTAAGCAAGCATGCAATGAGTAGGCAAGTGAACTAGCACGGGAGATGTCCTAATGAAACAAGATGGAGCCCACGAACCCGAATGCAAACACCTTCGAAAAGCTACATATGTCCAAATGAGACTCTTGTAGGACACTCTTGTGGGACACTCTTGTGGGTGACTCTTGTAGGAAACTCTTGTGGGACACTCTTACGGGACACTCTTGTGGGACACTCTTGTGGGACACTCTTGTGGGACACTCTAGTAGGAAACTCTTGTGGGACACTCTTGTAGGACACTCTTGTGGGATACTCCTGTAGGACA